CACGAGAACACGACTGGTTTAATAAAAACAATTATTATTATAACCAACTGTACCAGTGTTTGTTTTAACGTGCTTTTGTTTGACTGTGCTAATGACAGCTATTTTGTGCTTCCATTCTTATGCACACACTTTGATTGTAACTTCGCGCGAATTCGGTTACGTTAAGTAACCAAGCTTGTATCCTGGCACGATCTCGGTATCCTTTCGATGCCACGAGATCGCCAGCAAATAAACATCGACTTGGTCCATTAATTGCCTTCTGGTATTTGGCTTCTCGGGGATTTTATGGATCTATTTGGTTACGTCCAACCCTCGCCTTCTGATCTAATTGGCACGTGTTTCTTAGTAGCGGTGTTCATAGTTAATCTCGACTCGACGCCACGCTACAGTCTTATTAAATGTTTTATTAAGACGATGTCTTATTAAATGCTCATGAAATTATTGAAGTACCCGCCCGCGAAGAAACAGAAAATGAATCAAGCAGCATAATGAAGACAGTTGCATTAAATGGAGCTCATCATTCTACGACAAAAGTATCTGATGAATCTACTTATTGGGGTTCTCTAGTTGTTTTACCAGATATGAGTTATCTTAATGACTCACATGCTTTTGATCAAATTTCTTATAAAAAATGAGAAAAATTTGTCGGATGTATCAAATGATAATCACGAACTTAATGAAGTTTTGATAGATGTTGATTATTCTAGTGATCGATTATCTACCAATGAGATTTTCAGGAGATTTGATGAAAATGTTTCAGAAGAATCAAACCTTAATGACCTCATAGCAAATGTCGTTGATCCTCACCATCTAGTCAGTTCTAGTGAACTCTTTGTTCAATGCTGGAAATATGTTTTGAATAGTTACACTAACTGTAACTTGGAAATATGAAGATCCAATATTATTTCGTGGGGGGGGGAGGATACAGGATAATTATGAGCTTTGTTCAACAGTACTTCCTTTCTGATTCAATGTGATGATCATTCAGTGTAGTATTTCTTTCCTTTTCTCGTATGATATTTTATTCTGTATAATATGCGATATTCTTGTATTCAGTTGACATGAACTATGCTCAGTGTGTGATTTGTTATAACTCATATATGTGATTTCATCCCAATTATTAATCAAAATGGGTGTATAATCAATATATAAATGAGTGTATTTTCTACTAGGGTTGTCGTCGACATTGTCTGGAATAACATTCTTTTCACTAGTCTTCTCATTGCGACTTGGAAGGGTTCTAGCGTTCTAGTGCTTAAGATATACGCGTCATATCAAGAATATAAACATCTGGATATAACAAAAAGTAACTGGTGAATGGCTTTTGTTTTCAAAGCTGACGCTTGTATGGTATATTCTGGGCAACAATGACTCACACAACAATAATCCACGGAATGTTAAAGAGTGTAAAACCAAGGGATAAAGGGGAAGGTTTGTATCAAGGTATGATGGGAATTACACACAGGTAGAAAGTGTAATGTCAGATGACTATTGAAAAAACTTTTCAAAACCTTTGATGAATTATTATTACCCATGATTTGAAAAGTAGCAATAAATTTATATGTAGAAGTTCCTCTGAAGCTAGTCATTGTTGTCTGACCTACGTCCAATGTGTTTCACTGATTCCAAGCACCTCCAAGTTGTATCTCTTCATTTTTGCAGCAACTCCAGAGGGGCTCCAAGAGGAGTTATATATATATATATATATATATATATATATATATATATATATAGCGTTTTACCACGTAGGTGAGTTCAGTTCTTATGAAACAAAACAGTTTCCTCGAGAAAATAAGTATATCTTGTTGGTGAACCCCAGTAAACAGGAAATGTATCAACAAGGTTTTCTACGTGTATCATTGTTGGTGTTTTTCTCTATCAAAATAGTCATGAAGATCAAATATAGTTCCGTAAACTAGATGCTTCACGATATGTTACAACGAATAGCGCGTACAACAACATGAATAATTTTGATGCATTTGAAATGCAATTTAGCATAAGTTATTATAAAATGGATTAGACAATAGGCTTGTTTCTGACAAAACCTCAATATTATCTCAGTCGTAAGGGTATAGAAATAGCATCAAGTGACTAGATACTACTTCTTAATAAAAAGTAGTATATAACTAAACACAAAATAAACGAGAGCGATGAACGTTTTCGGTCTGTGAAATGGAACTGAACACTAATCGATTTACTTGTCAAACTGACCGATCCCAACTATGGGAACTGGCAGCTCGACTTGGAATATTAAACGAAAAGTTGTCACCGTCAGTGTTTAGTAACACGGATTGATTAATTTACACCTGAGGACTGACATATTCGATAGTATGTTGCCTCTTGTGTATATAATCATTCAATTTTTTAACACGATAAGATTCTGCTCGTTGTCTAAGTATCCTGTGGAATCATGGTAGCTCATACATCAAATAGAGTTGGATATGTTAACCAGTTAACACATGATGTAACTTTAACATTAGATCACGAAAACCAAGTGGTTACACCATTCCAGTTGTTGGCGGAAACTAGTTATCAGTTGATGTAAGCAACACAATTACAACTGACTTGAGTCCATCGTCTACATAATAATCAGACGGATAGGCATAAAGTTATTAAGTTACGGACAGAAGCTTATCAAACATTGGATGTTTTCTCACTTTGTTAAATACACAAAGTGTTAACCGATACGATAGAAGAAAACTTGGTTAAATAATCTTGGGTAATTTTCTGAACTGTTCATTTTATAGGGTAGTCGAAAGAAACTAGTCAGACAGTGAACTCAGATTTTGAGCTTCCTGTTACAAACCAGTAAGGCACACCTTCAATAATAAACAACTTTGTACTGTAAGATTATAACATGTGTCACGGTTAGCAACGTTAAAACAGAGCTTTCCGGTCGTCAACATTCCGAGTCATAATAACCAGTGAGAAACCTAGGTAAAGCAGAGTACCTGTCTATTGGCTCCAACCACCAAGTACCGAAATTTAGTGTGCAAATAATCAGGTCACTAAGGCTATTAACTACATCAATTACAACACCATCTACAGAATTTAATGATTAATTAAGGCTAGACAACTATGTAACACCGCCTGTAGCCTGTTACAGGCTGATTCCACACCCGGGTAAAGGATGAGGGTTGAGCATGTCGTCAGAAACTTCACCTAGTAGAAAACAACCTCGCTAAACAAACGCTAACCAGAATAAACAAATTAAACTATTTAACCTCTGACTTGCAAGTTGAAGGATCTTCATTCAGAAGAATTATAATGCCTCATGGTGAATGCCGATATTTTTTTGGAAGTCATGAGGCCAGTGCCTCTTCCAACAACCACAGCAACATTTAGTATATGTACATGGAATGTTTGAGCAATGTGGGAGATCGAGAGGACCAGTAAAATTGCTTCGGAAATGAGGAGATACGACTTGGCAGTACTCGGAATCAGTGAAACCCATCCAACCCAAACCGGACAGAAAAGGATGGATTCGAAAGAGATGCTACTATGCTCTGATTACAAAGAAGAAAATGCTCCACCCACTCAGGGTGTTGCTCTGATGCTGTCCAAAGCAGCGTATAAAACACTTATAGGACGGGAATCCCATGGATCCAGGATCATCAAAGCGTCCTTCAAAACAAAGGAGGAAATCACAATAAATGTACCCAATGTTATACACCCATTAATGATAGCAAAAACGACAGTAAAGACCAGTTTCAAAAGATGCTGCAATCGATCATAGTGAAGTGCTCAGGAAAGGACCTGACCATTCTGATGGGAGACCTAAACGCCAAAGTCGAGATGGATATACCAGGTATGAAGATATAATGAGATGACATAAAGTGAGAGAAAGGGATGAGAATGGTGAGAGATTCGAAAATTTATGTACATTCAACAAAATGGTTACAGGTGGCACAACATTCCCACACGAACACATACACAAGGCTACATAGGTCTCACTGAATCACAATACAGAATCAGATCGATCATATTTGCATCACTAAAAAGACGTGAGAACCGGGAGAGGAGCTGACGTAGCTTCAGATCACCACCAGGTTAAATACAGTGTAGTGGCTGTTCTTATGTCGAGCCCACATAGCTTATTCTAGCTTCTGGACAAACCAACCTAACCATTCTCTACAAGCTACATTTTGACCTTGTTGACTATTCTGTTGTCAATCTTGATGGTTTTTATGTAAGCGTATGTGTGTTCACTTCCTATCTTACTCATCACATGTCCGTAACTTATTTTTGTCTGACTATAAATATCAACTAACGCTTAATTAAATCAAGTTGGCTTACATGTCTTCTCCACCGCGCATCATTTCGCTTCGCTCTCTTCTCCGCTCGTTTGTCTGGATGAATGAATGCATGAAATGTACGTATTCGGAATTCATTTTCATTATTAATTTATTTAATTTTGCTCTTCACCAAAGCGAGTTAAGTCGATGATTATATACGAGAATTGGTGACATGCATATTTCGACAGCAATCATTCGATTACTCATTTATAAGTGGAGTCAGATTTGAGGCCACTTGAATTTTTTATGCACAATCCATTTCGGTTGATAGTATGGTCAATGATACAGAATCTTTAAATGAGAATGAATTATCCATTCTCTGAACTCAGGTTTTCAATGATTTCCTAGTTCATTTCCAGTTTGCCAATGATTCGTATAGAACTGTTAATTATTACTAAACGTACAACCATAAGGAAATCTAATGTATCAGGCTAACTACCAAAATCTTATCTGTTGTCGTAAAACACCTTTTAAAGATGTATTTATTATTATGAAAATCTGTAACAAGTGGAGATTAACGAATGCAAAATCCTAGCATGTTTACACGCAACGACCAAGTTTACATCACAAGTATTTAACTTTAAAGAGTCCTGTTAAGCTTATAAAACCTGACAACTCATTCATGCGATAATACGCAGCCAAAATCAATTAGCCTATTTAAATATAGAACATAGATAATTTAAATAAAGCAAGAACAAATATTGATGCAGAATAGTATGAATTCATATTATTTCGAGGTTTCTCGTCAGCTGCTTATAAACCAAAAAATGTGATAGAATATTTACATTGAGATAGAGTGAAAACAAATGACATAGATGAGTGTAAATAACTGGGTAACAATAATAACTATATATATATATATGCTAGAACAGGTCAGAGGTCAAAAGGAATTAATTCGGGTTGGGTGGTGTAATAATGGAATTGAATAATCATAACATAGGTTACGTAATAATAATTAAATAGAATTTGAAAAGTTAAGATAATTTAAGAGGATCAAGTGGTGGAAATGTGTGGATAATAATGTGGTTTAAGAATTATGTAATTGTTAGGATAGTCGGAAAAAGAGACCAATAATTATCATGTTAAGTTCAATGGTGTCCTTGAACCTTAAATGTACATTTCTTATTGGTCGATGTTTATTTCACTTGTTAAATATTGTACAAATGTTGTTTCCTATTTTATGGTACGATGTGGTTTGTTTGCTTGGTATATAAATAGAGTATGTTTGAAATATAATGATTCATAACCCAGAGGCTGTGACTTGTGTTCTTCACTCAACTGGGCTAGGACGGACAGCGAAGCAGGGCCAATCAGGCCACTAGGTCGTGCTTACATGTTTACGTGTCCACTGTCACAGATCGCGGTCGATATATAAACGCTGCCTAGCAAAACCTGCAGTCACACACACACAACCGTTACAACAATTGGCGACGGGGTAGAAAAAATTTTGAACCCTCTAATTGGACGAGATTCAGCATATTTATTTTGACCAATCAGTATCCAGATTTATCATTGGCGTCCTTGGGAATCATTGGTTGTTAATTGATTACAGTATTTCTCATTACCCTGCTGACTGAGAAAATGAATATCCTTCCCGATCAGTTGCAGCTACTACTATATCGCCAGCAGCAGCGTTTCAGAGAAAGCCAGTTGAATGTTTTGGACAATTTACGCACGCGACTGCTAAATCTCCCATGTTTCGGAGATGTGAAGGAGATTGACGAATTGATTTCTCACTTGCATACTGAACTCGAGAATGACTGCAGGACATATGAAGATGAAAACAAAAGCCTCTATGATTCCCTTATGACCAGTAATGCAAACGAGGCAGTCACTCATGATCCGTCCAGCGATCCAGAATTGTCCAATTCAGAAGCATGCCCTGTTGTGGGTTCAAATCCCACTGTGCCTGAAACATGTGAGGTATCCAGCTTACAAGAAGAACCTCTCGTGCCAGAAAATGTTCCCCGTGCATCAAATAATGGTCAGAAATCAAATACAGATTTCGAAGATGCTGTCTATTTTAGTGACCTATTATCCAGTGATGGAATTTTGAAGAGGTCTGATGAATATGTTTCACAAGAATCAAACCTTGATGACCTCATGTCTGGTGTCGCTAATCCTCATCATCTACTCAGTTTTAGTGAACCCTCTACTCAATGCGCGAAATATGCTTTAAATAGAGTCAGACTAACTGTTACTTGGGTATATGAGGACCCAACGTTATTTCGCGGGGGAGGACGGACGCAGAAAATTTTAAAACGCAGATATGAACTCCGCATCTTTCGAAAAAGGGGAGGTGTTAGGATAGTCGGAAAAAGAGACCAATAATTATCATGTTAAGTTCAATGGTGTCCTTGAACCTTAAATGTACATTTCTTATTGGTCGATGTTTATTTCACTTGTTAAATATTGTACAAATGTTGTTTCCTATTTTATGGTACGATGTGGTTTGTTTGCTTGGTATATAAATAGAGTATGTTTGAAATATAATGATTCATAACCCAGAGGCTGTGACTTGTGTTCTTCACTCAACTGGGCTAGGACGGACAGCGAAGCAGGGCCAATCAGGCCACTAGGTCGTCCAATAATCGCCAACAAAAATCCCTTAGTAGATTGACAGAAACCATCAAATTAGTTTGATTGACTATTTAAAATACCAATGATACAGAGTAAATGACTGAAGAATTCAAATCAAGACGGAATCGATTGTAAACTAGATTTAAAGATAAAAAGGTGTTGAATGAAACATGTATATATAATATACCCTTGTGGGCCAGGGTAATTTTACATTGGTTTTCAGGAGAACCAGACACCATCCGAACTTTCACGTGACAACCCAAACAGTACAGCTCAACCCCGTTTAGCAGGGGAACCAGACACCGTATAAGCTTTAACGCTACAATCTGAGTAGTACAGCTCAATCCTGCGGCGCAACCACACAGGTACCAAACACCCTGGTTGAATGAAATACCTGATAAAATAATTATTCATTTTGTCCATAAATTATAACTGACATCTCTTCTAGGATTAGTTTTTTTAAAATAATTTTACGGACTAATTTTTCAATTGTTAAGATGGAAGAATCCACCTATCGATAGATGAAATAGAATGACATGAGGTGTGACACCTATTCACATCACGAAACCGAACTACTGACGTAAGCTTCAACCCCATCAAAGGTTTGAAATCAACCATATGACCACTAGTCAGAATGACAAACTTTAAAAAAATAATAAAATGATATACTTATACACAAATCATTGACTGAAAAGCAACAACAGAAGGCTCAACTAGCTTTTACCAACTTGCGTCATTTTTGGCGTAGGCGAGATATCCCTCTATCAACCAAAGGACGCGTTTACTGCGCAGCAGTTCGTCCCGTCCTACTTTATGGCAGTGAAACATGGCCGGTAAGAGTAGAGGATATTTGTAGGTTACTAGTATTTGATCATAGGTGTCTTCGAAATATTGCACTTATATCCTGGAACCATCGAGTAAGAAACGCAATTGTTAGGAAATGGGTACTAGGTAAGGATGGCAAATCCATTGGTGAAGTAGTGAAACTTCATCAATTGAGATGGCTGGGACGTGTTACGTAAGCCCAACCACCGTCTGCCTCGACGTGCGATGTTTTCTGGTGTAGGTTGGAAGAAAGCTAGGGGCGGCCAAACCAACGGGATTTAATCGACAACTGCATCTTTGTGCTAACGTGGTGTGGCAACTCGAACTGATGTATGTACGTACGAATTTCTACGTTGTTACTGACTGAATATGGACCAAGTGTTATGAACGACTGATATGAATATCAATTCGATAGGTCATTCATTATCTCTCTCCAAATGAATTGGGTTTAGTTTTAAGCCTTTTATATCAAACATCTTTAATATTACTGATCTTTACACCTTAGGTATAGATTATAGAAAATTAATTAATCATTACTTTATTGAAAAGAAGATATATTTTTTGATAGAAACAAAATAAAATTTGAAGAAAGCTGTGTACATAGTTGTTTACTGACACTGATCAGTAATATACTATATAAAGCATGAACCAATTCTATTCAATAAGAATAAACTATAAGTGAACAAGGTAAAATAAAAATACAGATTAATGGAACTAGGTGATATGGCTATACAAAAAGACAAACACGCACACATTTACGTAGTATGCTTCATGGAAAGGAAACAAAGGATGAAATCACAAGAAGAACAGTCCAACACACATATACACTACATGAAAATGTCTAATATTAAATAGGATGTGCAATAAAATCACGTTTATGGATCAGTTGATCATTTGATTCAGTACATCGATGATGACGAGGGAGTGCATGTAGTTTTTTTGTATTGTTATCATGTGTCTTTCTGATAGTTATTCGCCTAGAACACGATATAGATGGTGACGATGTAGAATAATGAACTCGATTATTCTTGTCACATTTTACAAGATTCGTTGATTTTAATATTAATACATCAGAATAAGGATTAGTATGACCATTTGTAATTGGTTTTAATGATGCTATACCATCGATTGGTGTTTTTTCCAAATTTTTTAAAGCCCTTTCAATTAGATGTATAGCTGTTTTGGTTTCTATTTGATTTTTTGAACGACGATGGTGATTTGTGTTGCACGCTATAAAACAAAACAGTCAAATAATATTGATTAATGATAATCAAATTTAAATATGAAATTAGTTTAGATAGGGGAAGGAGAGGGGAGGGAATGCAGTGGTTTGCAGGAACGATTGAATTTTCATAGTTTACGCCATCGAGGATGACACAGTTGCCTAGTAGTTCCTGGTACTTTATGGTTGTCTAACTCAGATTAATCTGCGATATTGACTACGCAATTTAACCGTTTTTACAATCACTCGTAAACTATATCATGTGCTAACTAGTGACTGATTTTGAGAAGCCATTGTGACCTGACTGGAGTTAGACATGTAAACTAAAGGATGCCAACGCAGTAGACTGAACCATAAAATACGAATTTAGTTTGTAAAGGATATTTTTATGGTAGAATACTGAATATCAAACACAGTGAACATTCAAATTGTTCAACTTAGCTGCTTACCGGTGATCACACTGTAGTCTTCAAACAATGAAATTTATACACAAATGATTAACAGATTAATTTTTTTTTACTGGACAGTTGAATAATAGCAGTGTTAAGTCTGGACGTGTCTTCGATGTTGTCATAACTTGTAGCCTGCTGTCTAACATCACGTAATAAAACCACCAATTAGAATACCGATTCCTATGGCTCTATCCCTGAGCTAACCGATTATATGCCAATCAGCACTAGCACATTAAGTCATTGATAGGTCCTTACTGGTTCTCAATTAGGTGGCTTCTCTCCCTTCCTTACCAATTGAGTCCGCTACTATACGAATACTTTGGAGACTTGTTAAGTGAAGTAATGTCCAATGATAATCAATAAGAGTAGTTAGGTCGTAATAAGAGAATTCATAATAACAACAAACTCTCTCTTGTCCCTTATCTTTCCTATCAAACTTACAAACTCTTTCCTTGTCCATATGGCGACTAGTTATAACGAACTTTCACTCATAGTCTGTGCTTTCAAATTATGTGTATACTGAGGCTTTGAATTGTTGAATTCACACAAAAATATCGCTACAGAGAACTTCAGAATCCCAAATACTATGGGTATCAAAACGTGGTGGTCATAAACTTAACTCACGGAGATTCACGTTTTAGACATTGAGAAAATTTGACAGTAGCTACTCGTAATCCTACGGGTTTAGATGGACAAAGTATTTATTTTGAAAGTAAAACGAGAACCCCAGACAAAAATAGTTTATTTGTTGTCCGAACTAGTCAATTTCTAGTCATGTTATCGATTCAGTTCAATAAAGATAATCATGGTGAGGGGAAGAAGGGGGATTAAGAGAAGTGCAAGAATGATAATGACATTTTCAAGAACAAAGAATATGTCGTTTCTCTACAGTTATTAAGAGTAGTTCTCCGACAACACATATCGATTCGGTTATTTCGCACTCTTCTCACCATCAAGTAGACGGTTGGGCATATGTATCAAGTATCGGAATTCGAAAACGCACAAAATAAACACAAATATCAATGATAAAACTGGTAATCAGTCTAAGAATAAACACTCACAAGAAGTTTTCAAAGTTAAATTATGAGAATTTATCTTGGAACTTGTTTGAGAATTCTGGCTTAGGCCATGTTTTCCGTATAAATCAGGTATGTGAACATGGGAAGATGAAACAGACGGGTAGTTCGAGTAGGAAGATATTTTCGGAGTACTAAAAAGGAAGTAAAAATTGACAACAAAGTATTAGTTAAGATTAATTAAATGTTGTACAAAATTCATCCAAAGATGTAACTGTGTGTGAAGTTGAGTGGCAAATGCTAAGTGATAACAGCCCCCAAATACCCTGATACGGCCGAGAGTGGGGAGAGTCAACCCTCTCGAAATGCTCTCACATGGCCACGTGCACACAAACACTGTTAGGGAAGTCCTACTCACTAACTTCTCGCGGCGGGGGTGTTGTTTAAGGAATTGAGAGGACGAAAGGAATGTCTGGAACTTTAACAGGGTTAGTGGATATAGAGGTACAACTAGGGAAGTTGGAAAACCCTGGTTCCAAACCAATGGTGCACATGGGCTTCAAGATCCTGAAAAAACATATGGCATATAAGCCAATAGTTGGTCACCGGCTACCATGGGACTGCATCTCCATACGCTGCCCCAATGTCTTGTGGATCAGACCTTTAGGTCGAAGGCTCCGGGTGTGCCCCCTAAGAAAACCACCTGCTTCGATTTGGGCACCCGGGCAGTATCACAGCCCACACACAAACCAAGTGACTTGTGTGTCGCATATCTATTCGGTGCTCCTTTGTACCAATATTAATGTGTTCAAATAGATAGATAGTGCTAAAAGAAAAAATTCAATTATTGCACACTGTAATATGCAGTTCTACCAGTCGGTCTGACGTAAGTGGGTTTTAACAACAGATTCTATGAGTCCACTCAAAATGAAGGTGGAATAGTGATAAGGTTCTGACGACTACATCTCTTGGTCGGGAGAGAGAGCTCTAACAAACATAAACGAGTGTGGTTAGTTTAGATGAAAGTTTGTTAAAAGCTCGAAACATTCAAAAAGTTATATACGTTTATTTATGTTGTGCTTATTGAAGAGGGTGGTTTATTTGTTGTTCTGAACAATACCATAGTTTTCTGAAATATTTTACTAGAAAAACTGATGATCAACCTTTAAGTCAAGAAATCTAACGTCAGAAAAATTTTTAATGTTCAAAATTTTGAAGGGTGAACAGTTGATATACACGTCCACATTCAGATCTTAAACCCTAGTGGATGAGTATTTGAACTAATAAATTAGACAAATTAGTCAAATTGATTCTTCTTTGTATTTTACTAGAGCATTTTTATACATTTTGACCGATATCATAAACATCTATAGGAAAACTGAGCGAATAAAGCTATTCTATGATATTACTAACGTACGGATATAGCTGTTCGTCAGAAATTGTTCCACTAAACGGGTCTTCAGTACGACTAGATAAAACACTTGAAGAATCACACATGGCCATCACAGCTGCTAGTTGAGCTTCACGTTGTATAGTTTCTTCCATTATTCTAAGTCTGGAAGCTTCATCATATGAGCGTTGTGCAACGGTCAATTCGTCTCGAGTTGGCCGAGCCGGTCTAGCAACCAAAGTATATCCATGAAAATTCAAACCATCCAACCTATGAAGAAGAAACAATTGAGAAAATAAATTAGTTACATTACTAAGTGGTTGGGATATTAAATATCCAGAACTTAGTTGTTAAATGTCTTGTTTTTGTAATTTTATTTTTGAAATTTGAATTCCTCGTTTTTGTGCCAAAAGCGCCCATTTTTTTACCTTCACGAGTGGCAACTGGCGTAAGTAAGCAAATTTACAAACAGAATAGTGTTCACAATCACCATTTACACTTTGCTGACACTAAACATTTTAAGATGACTGGTGCTCAGCGTTCTTAAATATCAATATGTGTACAACAAATTATTGGTCGATTAAGTTTATAGTCAATAATGCGATAGAATAAAGATAACATATACAAACATATACCACCAGAAACCAGCTCTTTGCAGCCTTCCTTCATACCACGACACCATGTCATACACTGACCACCTCTCCGCTTTTTCCAACCAGTCCCAGAGTCGGCAAATAATGCACGACGTGGAATTCTCTGGGACGACATTCGTAGAACATGTCCAAGCCACCGAAGTCGATGTTCCAAGATGGTGACACCAATTGCATTATCATCTCTGTGCCTAAACACACGATGCCGAACCTCTGCATTACTAACATGGTGTTGCCACTGGATGTCAGGAATCCTTCGGAGACAGCGATGATCGAACACAAAGAGTCGTCTAACGTCCTCAACTTGGAGAGGCCAGGTTTCACAAGCATAGAACAGAACTGCTCTCATCGACGCGTTGTAGATCCGACCTTTTACAACCAGACTGACATCACGAAGGCGCCAAAAATGGCCCAGATCGACATAAGCCGCTCTGGCTTTCACTATACGTGCATTGATCTCATCACTCAAGCCACCACTAGCACTTATGCAGCTACCTAGATACACGAACTTCTCGACTACTTCTATCTGTTCACTATCCAGGGTGATTACAGGATTAGGATCCTGCCAGTCTTGTAGAAGTACTTTGCACTTTGAAGGTGCAAAGCACATACCATACTTACGGACACTGATTGCCAACCCATTAAGTGCGAATTGCATGGCTTGGGCATTATCGCACAGTAAAACAATATCATCCACATACTCAAGGTCGAGAAGTCTTTCTCCAGGCAACAGATCCACACCGCCATTACTTACGTCCATTAGTGCTGTTTCCAGAATGTCATCGATGGCAAAGTTGAAGAGGAATGGTGAGATTGAGCAACCCTGTCTAACCCCACTGCTCGAATGGAACAATGGAGAAAGGTGGTTGTATGCCTTCACTCTGCCTGAGGTGTTTATATGTAGAGCTTTTAGGATGTTAATAAACTTTTCAGGCACACCCTTCTTCATTAGACAATCTCAGAGAACAGTCCTGTCCAACGAATCGAAGGTAGCCCTAATGTCAAGAAACACTACGATTGTTGGCCTGTGATAAGTATGACGGTGTCCTAACATTTAGCGGACGGTGAAGATATGATCAATACATCCTCGACCAGAACGAAAACCAACCTGATCCTCGCGAGTCAATCTTTCTCGGGTTTTGAACAATCTACGATGTATGACAGAAGCCAATAGCTTGGACGCAATCGGAAGTGGACTTGTCCCCCGATAGTTGTTACAGGAACGATGTGAACCCTTTTTAAAGATAGGGACAACTATCGACTCATTCCATGACGTTGGTACACTCTCTAGCTCCCAGACCTTCGTAAACAACGTTGTCAGTTCCTTAGTCAGAAAGTCACCACCATCTTCAAAAAGAGCCGGAGGTAAGTCATCTGGGCCCGGTGATTTGTAGCGCTTCAAGAGTTGGAGTTTCTTGCAGACCTCCGCCTCATTTGGTGGATCAGTCGTCACCGGCCATGGAGGGCAGGACAGTCTGACCGATGTTGCCGGAGCAGCAGGACAGTTGAACTGCCCTTCGAAAAATTCTGCCCATCGTCCAAGATGTCGATGGATGTTAGTGATTGGCATCTCGTCATCCTCACAGATTGTTCCGCTCACACCAGACTTCTTGCTGCCAGTGGCTCGGATGAGTTGGAAGAGCTTCCGGTAGTTACCAGATGCAGTTGCTGCTTCCAGCTCATTAGCACGCTTCTCGGTCCTTACGCAAGCTTTGCCCGATTTTATTACATAACAGCCTTTGTTTGTGGCCAAACTCACGGTCACTCAGAGTAGACTGACGGGCTTCGATGAGTTGTAAGGAACCTGAAGAAACCCAGTGCTTATAAGCGAGACGTTTCACGAAGCCGCAAGCGGCTTTACTCGCCATTTTGATGGCGTCATGAAGTTGCAACCAACTTTCTGACATCAATCCTTTGGTGGCGGTCACTTCGTTGGCCACTGAAAAGTAAGGTAAGGTTGGCGCAGACCAGGGCATGATTAGAGTCCAGATAGGTACTCCAAAAGGAGCGGCAGTCCTGTACACAACCACGCTGGTGGTAGCTGATCGCGATGTGATCAATTTGAGTCCAGGCTTGAGATGCAGAGAAAGGACGCCAGGTGGCATATCGGCGATGACTGTGCCGAAAGTTAGTGCTAGTCAGAAACAGGTTGTGGTCTGTGCACAGTTGCAGTAGACGGTCCCCGTTATCTATCCTGAGAACAACAAGTCCCCATCGGCCACCTAAACTATTCTCTTCTGTGCCTAGGCGCCCGACCTGAGTATCCAAGTCTCTGGTTAGTACTACAATATCTGTCGAACATGCAGCTAACCCTTGTTTAATAATTACCGACTGAATTCGCGTTAGAGAATAACGGAATAAAATAATGCGAATACAAGAATGAATCATGGATACACATTTCATGCATTTATGGATCCAGACAGTAAAGCTCGGAGAAGGCAAGTGTGCCAATCCCCTCTAGTTAGTGTGACTCAATATTTATAGCCATACACGAGAAAGCTTAGGACAGGTGATAAAGAGTAGGGGATTAAAGCATACGGTCATCTAAAAACATTCAGGGTTAATAAGTGAATAATTGACAAGGACAAAATGTGGCTCAAGAAGAATAAACAAGTCGATCTGTCCGGAAGCTAGAATAACTCATGTGGGCTGGGTACAGTGCTAGACACTACAATACAATACAATCAGTAAGAGTACGATATGTAAAGGTCAGAAAAGTCACGAAATAGTTCACATAATCCCGATGCGACTGTGGATTTGACCTAGTTTGCAAATCAAGTGTATAAGGGTCACTACAAGATTTCCGTTAATGACCTATTGTAAAATTTCAACACAACCTAAATTCTATATGTAATGCATTTTAGTGTGTTTGAATGGAACTATCCAAGCTTTTGACCAACATTGGCATCTTTTGGGTTTAAAAGGGCGATACTATGCGAAAGAACATAGATCACTAAACGACCACAAAAAGATATTGTCAAAACGTTTTAACGACTATATTTATGGGGTTTTAAGGACAATTTTAGATTACATAAGTCACAAAAGGTAAAAACAAAATATGGAACTAGTACAGGTTTACTAATTTAGTTACTAACATATCAACGTGCCTTGATAATATTCATGGTAAGGAGGAAGATAGAGGGTATCCGCACCTGTATAACTGTGAACGACTCACATGGACGAAGAACAAACACAACTATACAGATAGAAGTAGGTGAAACGGGGTCTAAACAAGCAACTTTATTTCACCAGATATAAACTTATTATAAGGTAAACAACACTAGATGCAATCAACCTAAATGAAATGAAACAAACTTACACTTTCCAAGCTTTCTTAGCATCATCCACCGACCTGTATGTCAAAAAACAATAACCAACTGTAGATCCTTGCAGATCACCAGTCTTATGCACAGGAAAATGGAAATCGGATAATTCTCCGAATTGTTTAGCTAGCTGCAAAACCGCAAATTCCGTAATACGTGTCGGGAGACACCCTAGCCAAATTCTGTGTGGATCGCCATTTATCTCATTGAAATCACTACATATGTCACTGGAGTTGGAACAACCGACAGTTGCCATTCGGGGAAGACTATGTCCAATACCTTAAGAAAGAAAGTCACAAATAGAGCCAAATTAATAGCGAACGAAATTTTTTTTAAGTTACTTACTACTAAGCGAACAACCAATGCACACTTTATAAGATTAGCATTATCTCGACAGTGTCGACAGTGAATTGGATATTTTAAGACCTTTAGTGAAACAATTTGTTTTCGGCAATATAATATGTTATCTAATTTTCCCCCGGTAGGATTGTAGGTGTTTTTGGATTGTGTTCAGCTTGAATTTACACCAAATTTGTGAGCATACAATCGAACATTTAAGTCAATCTGTTATGATCGAAACTACTTCTGTTATGTCCACAAAATCTTAAACTGGTCCCGAGTGATTTTCTGAAATAGGCTTGTAGAAACAGAAGCCACAGAGATAACTGCCACCCAAATCTTCTGATGAATGTCTCACTAAAAATCTCTTGTCCTCTTTAAAGGGTTTAAACCAAATCCCTCACTTAGTTTGCAGTACTTCATGATCCCATCAAATATTTACAATGCAGCAGTTGCCGATAAGTGCCTCTAAGCACATAATGATGCATACTACTCACCAAGGTACAGATTCATTAACGTTTTTAAACTAGTTAACAATAAATTCGCATCTGAAATAACCTCATTATTCTTGTCTTTCAAAGCAAAGAATTTATGAGGACACTAAAACGTTTCACAAGCCAAGAACAAATTAGTATTAAACTGACATAGATTCTCCCATCAAATTATCAACCAATAAAACTCGTTAGATCTACGCGTAACTGAAGCTCGGTATTAATCTTTTCAACGGAAATTGGACCGAGACCAGCCCTCTCAAAACTAACAGGCCACCCAACCTTCCATCACTTATAAACTGAAAAGGAAGCGTCATTAGCTATTCAAACGATTGAGCAGCAAATCCTTCAGTGCTGAGAGCTGACATTAGCATAGACATAAGAGATGCAACCAATCAGTACAGGACGTCTCAAAACATAAATATCAAAGTCATATGGTAAGTTACTGGGTTTGTGACCTGCCTGTTATTTTTGCATAGAGCACAAGGCTCTGAATTAAAACCCCAGTAAACTAAAGACTAATATCTTTGGAAGTTGTCTTTTTCATTTGAGCACATAAATATTGGTAAAAGGGAGCACCGAATAAATATGCGCCACACAAGTCACTTGAATGTTATCACCCACTTGATAAATATACCTGGAGCATTACACAAGGTATGCAAAACCTATGAGCGCTCAAACCAAAGCATGTAGTCAGTTTGCAAAGTTACTGGTAAGAACAGACAACCTGTTTTCAAAGTTACTTTACACCTCTTATTGCATGAATTAGATTCTATGCTATAACCCTTTTACTATCGCTGATACTACTGCTTCTTTGGCATTAAGGCTGATAAGTTTTGCCCCACTGGCTTGGTGAGATGTGGTGACTTGGGTTTAGTCAAGACATAACCATATGCACAGTTACTAATGATATACCAAAAGGAATTAATACCACAAACCAAATTGTCTGTTTATGACTAAAGCGAAACGGTAATAATAACACAACGAAGGGGTAAATTGAACAACAATATGACAGCAATTGCTATGAAATGAACGTTACTTGTAAGTTGTTTCTGAGATAACAACCACAAATGGGTTCACTTGATTAACGATGGTTCCTCTGCGTGGTGGCACCAGTGGCGTGGTAAGAGATATATCCGATAGTATTTAATAATAATAGTCCGGGACAACTCCAACGCAACGTAGAAAGGCCTGAAGAGATGTTATGATATCATTGTAATCTTCGAATACATGCCATGGTCAATAAGGCGAAGAACAGACTACGATAGCGTTTATTTTTAATAATAGCGGTAGTGCATGTATCAGTAGTACCGAACAAATATGTCCACTATGTACAGAGAAACAACGTATTTTGAATCTAAATGAAATTATACATCAAGTGTCACAAATAAGGTAAAAATTCTAGTCCTTATTATGTCGTTACAAAAAAATCATTAAATAAGAAGGTCACTTTAAATCTACTGGAGCAAGATGTAGACATTTTTTATATAAGGGAGGTATTTTTGTACAAACGATGGTAATAAATATATGCTTTTCGTTATATTTTACGATTTTAAATTGTGCTGTCTAAAGTGTTAATTTAATTCGTCTATACATCTACTCCACATCTCGGGGGAAGCCCTGAATACAATGGACAGCTAGGTACGACTGGGCGGTGTGGACTTCACTGATGACCTAGCTCTCCTATCCCATATATACTGACAGATGTAGTTGAAGACAGCCAGCGTAGCGATAGCCTCTGAATCGGTACATGCACATGGGAAAAACCGAGATCCTCAAGTACGAGTTATGCCGTTACAAAAAATGTTATAGTAATTCAATAGTGGAATTCATGAGTCATTTGAAGCTATACCATCACGGAAAACCTGGGGGCACTTGACGGCCGTTTCGTCCTGACATGGGGCTCCTCAACAGTGCACATTCGCGATCTCGCCTCGCGAGATTCAAACCTCTAAACCACTGAGCCGGCATCCAATAGTGTCAATGTCTAACATCAACCAATCCACGAAGTTGCACTGGACGGCCGTTTCGTCCTGGTATAGGAATCGTCGGCATGCGTGCAGGTTTTACATGGCAGTCCAGCTTCAAATGACCCATTAATTCAACTATTATATATATATATTCGGTTAGTAATAAAATGAGCGAGCATAACAGAGATAAATATTATTGCACACTTAGTAATGAGTATCATGAGAATGGTACTTACATATAGGTATAATACAGCGAATATATCAATATTAATAGTACACATGAACAGATATTTTAAAAAATAATGTTTGCAAAAGAATATTACTAGCAGCCTTGCTAATACATAGATATTTACTCGGAACACAGAAGATAACAAGAGATTAGGCGATTAATCCAACATAACGTCTGTTATTACTTACCTATCTTCTTATACCAGTGGTTTTCAGGATGGGAAAAGTGGTGGAATTAAAGGTTTAACTTGTGGGAGCTGTAAAATTAGTATCATCGACGGTAGGTGAATAATTGGTAAGGAACAAAAGAAGCTGTACTCTGCAAGTTTTGCTGTCTTTAGGCGGCTTTCGGCTGTCATTTGTTTCATACTCTAGAAAAGCAGGTTATACCAAAGCAATCGGACTAGTCTCTTTTTTATCCACTTTGATTGTGAAATATTTTGCTTGTCTCTCCACTACTTCATAAGGTCCTTCAAAAGGACGTTTTAAAGAACACTTTGAGGAATGGATATGGATAAAAACGAAGTGGTGCATTGAATGACAAAATAGTAACAGCGGTTATATGATGGATTTTAATTGTATGTTCCAGAGGTAATCACAACAAACAAAGTTCACTGGTTTATCAGATGCTCTGTACTGTTCATGCTCTACGGATCACCGAAACCTGACATAATTTTCAATGTTGTTACCTCCAAACCGGAGCACCCTAAGGAGCGACCCAGACCTCCAGTGTCACACTTGCTAAAGCCTGAACACTCATGTATTTTATGGAAGTTACCTCACACCACTTCGCAAATAGATCAACCACAGCTAAAATATCCTTTTTCCTATTTTGCTTTCCCGTATTTCACCAATAGAGTCAATCCACATCCTCTAATCCGGAAGCCCAGTTTCATGTGTGCTAAGTATCGAATAGTGTTGTTTTCTGTGCTCTTAACTATTTGGCAACGCCTACAAGTCATTACAAAATTCCGTGTGTCCACTCCTTGTTTTGTCTACCAATATCTACGTTTGACTGCTTTCGTTTTATTTCGACCTCCATGCCCCGAGTTTCATGGACTTTATTCAAGATACCACGGATCATAGGCTAGTTGTATGAAACAGTATGGTCCATAACGGAAATACAAAACCTCATCTATAAACATCACGAATTTCCACAAGGGCTATAGACATCTACCACACCAGCTCACATCTTGAATCTCTCATGAATATGGTAGAGAACTGGTTTTTCAAGGTGTTATATACGTTCCGAGTTTCCGAGTCTGCTACCTGAAAATGTGCACTTTCAATATCTTGCATAATTGTCAGCTGTACCGTATTTGTACCGTATTTGATATGATACAAGAAGGACAGTTTCCATGATAGTCAGCTACTTTCTTTTGATATCTCTGAAATTCTGAGATCACTTTAAAGTTCTATAATCAAGTCGTTATTTTGTCGAATCTTCTTGTTTTGGTTTCAACCGGGCAAGGGCGCGTGTCTAACCCACCTAGACAGCTATTCTTCAGTCCAAACCCTAGTTTCGATCTTACAATTAGCATTCTTTTGTACAATATGGTTTTGAACGGCACCGAATTTTTTGCTACCTCAGTCCTTGCCTTGATCATCAATGTCATCACACAGAAACGTAACCGGCTGTGACTCAGGTATCATTTGGATGATCGAAATTTGTAGACAAATTCCTAAAGACGTATATAAAACTGTTTGCGGACTTTCTAAGTTCACTTCAACGGTTGCTACATACATTGTAATATCAAGATAACCAAAACAAACGTATACGACCAACCCGTTTGGTACTGAATGCAATGAGCGTTGGAAAGCAGAACGCAAATAGCACTGTATGTAACTCATATTGACCCAGTAGTATGATGTATGCTGGATATGCATCAACTGAGAAATAGGTAGATGCAAAATAGAATACTGAGAACCAACTTGAACAAACCGACGCATCGAAAGTATCATCTGTTTTTGACCTCAATAACACTTGAAAATTTGACGCACAGTCATAAGCTTTGGTTCTTCTTCCTCATAAACAAAATTGAGGCACATCAATGTGATTTTGATAGTGTGACTGTGCTACGTGCTAATATATCCCGTATCATAAAATTAAGAGCTTTAGACAGTACAGGGACACGAGTGAGGTTGAACATATGGTTTAGCATTTCCAGTGTCGACTCAAGGAACCACAGCCTTCATGCGCCCAATATCCTTAGACTTACTGATCAATA